CCGCTGTCCCCCGTTTTCCACCGTTTTCTCCGCTCCCCGCCCCCCCCACCGCTCTTTATCATAAATATATAAATTATGCTAATTACGCCATTGCATATTCACCGCGCCGGGCCCGCCGCCCCCCGCCCGCCCCGGCCCCGCACTCACCGAGCCGGGGGTCGGGGGCGCGGGGGAGCCCCGGGGGGGCCCGGGGGGTCCCCGCCGCTCTCGCCGCTCCCGCGATCGCCGCGGACGCGGCGGCGGCGGCGGCACAAAGGGGCGGGGGGCGGCGGCGGCGGAGCGGCCCCGGCGGCCCGGCCCGGGCGGCGGCGGGGGCGGCCACGGGGGGCGGCTACGGGGGGCTCGGTGCCGCGGGGGTCCCGGGCGGGGGCTCGGGGCTCCGGCCGGGCCGGCGGGGCTGCTGCGTCATGAACATAATTTATGCGCAGGCCGCGCCGCAGGGCCCGGGCCGCCCGCCGCCGCTGGGGGCGCTGCGGGCGCCGCGCCGGGACCGGGACCCGGGACCGGGACCCGGGAGAGAGACCGGGACCCGGGAGAGAGAGACCGGGACCCGGGACCGGGACCCGGGAGAGGGACCGGGACCCGGGAGAGAGACCGGGACACGGGAGAGAGACCGGGACCCGGGAGAGAGAGACCGGGACCCGGGACCGGGACCGAGACCGGGACCCGGGAGAGAGACCGGGACCCGGGACCCGGGACCCCGGGACCGAGACCGGGACCCGGGAGAGAGACCGGGACCCGGGAGAGAGACCGGGACCCAGGACCCCGGGACCGAGACCGGGACCCGGGAGAGAGACCGGGACCCGGGAGAGAGACCGGGACCCGGGACCCGGGAGAGAGACCGGGATCCCCGGGAGAGAGACCGGGACCCGGGACCCGGGAGAGAGACCGGGACCCGGGACCCGGGGGAGGCACCGGGACCCGGGACCCGGGACCGAGACCGGGACCCGGGACCGAGACCGGGACCCGGGAGAGAGAGACCGGGACCCGGGACCCCGGGAGAGGCACCGGGACCCGGGAGAGAGACCGGGACCCGGGACCCGGGACCGAGACCAGGATCCCCGGGAGACAGAGACCGGGACCCGGGACCCGGGAGAGAGACCGGGACCCGGGAGAGAGAGACCGGGATCCCTGGGAGACAGAGACCGGGACCCGGGACCCGGGACCTCGGGGGAGGCACCGGGACCCGGGAGAGAGACACCGGGACCCCGGGAGAGAGACACCGGGACCCCGGGAGAGAGACACCGGGACCCCTGAGACCCCCGGGACAGAGAGCCGGTCACCCCCGTGAGAGGAACCCCGGAGAGGAACCCCGGGACAGAGTCCCGGGATAGAGGTGCCGGGACCCCTTGGACAGAGACCCCTGAGACCCCCGGGACACCCCGGGACACCCCGGGACACCCCGGGACACCCCCGGAGTCTAAGGGACACCCCCAGAACCAGAAACCCCCCGAAACCAGAGAGCCCCGAGCTGCAGAGGCCTCCTTAGCCCTGGAACCCCAAAACCAGAGACCCTCCCCGGCACCAGAACCAGCTCCAGCCCCAAGATCCCCCACCAGAGGTTCCCAGCCCAGAAACCCCCAAACCCCAGACCTGAAGTGCCGGAACCCCCCAAAACCCCGGATCCCCAATCCAGGACCCCCCAAACCCCGGATCCCCAATCCAGGACCCCAAAACCCCGGATCCCAAATCCAGGACCCCCCAAAACCCCGGATCCCCAACCCAGGACCCCAAAACCCCGGATCCCAAACCCAGGACCCCCCAAATCCAGGACCCCCAACCCCCGAACCCCCCAACCCCCGGAGTGCCGGGCCCCCCCCCGAGGAGCGGGACAAACGGGACAAGGCTGGGGGGAATATTAATGACCCCACAGCCAGAGCGAGCCCTCCTCATTAATAATCATTAATATTCATTAATATTCTAATTACCCCAGGTGCACCTGTTATTGGCGGCCGCGGCCCAGTTCTGCCGGCTTCATTTGCATACGCGCTGCCGTGATTATGAATATTTAATACGAATCGTTAAATACCTACAGCTAGTTAAATCCCCGGTCATTTGCATACATTTGCATATAGCTAATAGTTTGCATGCGGGGAAGGAAAACAGCTCGGGTGGGGGGGCGGATTTTAATTAACAAAGACTCAGCTGAGGGGGGGGAGCTTGGGGGCGGGGGGGGTGGAGGGAGGGGCGCCCCTAAACGGGTCCGGGGGTTCTTAAACGGGTTTAGGGGTCCCTAAATGGGTCTAGGGGTTCTTAAATGGGTTTGGGGGTCCCTAAACGGGTCTGGGGGTCCCTAAATGGGTCCGGGGGTTCTTAAACGTGTCCGGGGTCCCTAAACGGGTCTGGGGGGGTCCTTAAATGGGTCTGTGGGTCCCTAAATGGGTCTGGGGTCCCTAACTGGGTCTGGGGGTCCCTAAATGGGTCTGGGGTCCCTAACTGGGTCTGGGGGTCCCTAACTGTGTCTGTGGGTCCCTAAGTGGGGTCTGGGGGTCCCTAAGCGGGGTCTAGGTGTTTCTAATTGGGTTTGGGGGTCCCTAACTGGGTTTGGGGGTCCCTGAGCGGGGTTCCCAAAGAGGGTCCGAGGGTCCCGGGGGTCTGCAGAGCAGAGCCGAGCAGAGCCGGGGGGGTCCCGGGGGGGTCCCGGGGGTCTCGGGGGTTCCAGGGCGGATCCCGGGGGGGGGTCCCGGGGGTTCCCTGGGGTTCCGAGGGGGTCCCAGGGCGGATCCCGGGGGTTCCCGGGGGTCTCGGGGGTCCTTGGGGGGTCCCGGGGGGTCCCGGGGGTCCTGGGGGGGTTCCCGGGGGTCTCGGGGGTCCTTGGGGGGTCCCGGGGGTCCCGGGGCCGTGGCCGCAGCCCCCGGGGCCGCTCGGGGCTCCCCAGGCCGGGTCCCCTTGAAGGAAAATCAGATTTTTTTTTTTTTTTTTTCCCATTTCTGCGCGTTCTGAAAGCGAGGAACGTTCCCCCTCATGAATTATTCATGAGCGCACCCCCGCGCAGCCGGGAGGCTCATTTGCATATGTATGAGCAGTGCTGCATTATTCATGAGCGCCGGCTCGGGCGGGAGCGGGACAATCCGGACGGGAATTCTCCGTCGCAGGGCGATTTCCCGGCGCCGGCGGCTCCGGAACCGCGCCGAGACTTCTGGATGATTTACACGCAGCGCTACGTACGTGATACACATGGTACGTGTTTGATGTCCTCTTATTTTATCTGTATTTGTTGATTTTTTAATGTACCACTGCGCTCTATATTGTGAATTTATACAAAAATGTATGGCCATATAGTCATATTATACTGTATATTTATATATGAATGCATAATTATATTGTTTTTGTACTAATACAGTATATTAATTAATAGAATGTTTTATTTACTAATCCTTATTAATACTTATTCCTACGTATTATACACTACACTATTGTATCAGTATTTTTAATATTATTGACTATATTTATATATTATTCTAGTATGTATGATGTATCTCTAAAGGTTTTATTGGTATTTTATAAAGATGTAATAAATATCAATTTTTACTGCACTATATATTAAACTGTAATGTTATGTTGTTTAGATTAAATATGTAATTCAAATTATATAATATATATAATATAAATAATAAATATAATATATATAATATACATAATATATGTAATATGTATATAATATATAATATATGATTATGATTTTGATATATGATATATGATATATGATATATGATATATGATATATGATATATGATATATGATATATGATATATTATATATTATATATTTTAGATTAATATAATATATACAATGTATATTATATCAATATATCAATATAATATATATTAAATGTATACTGTATAAACATATTTATATATATATTTATGTATATGTTTATTTAGTATATATAAAATATATTTATTTTTATATATATTTAGGGCCCCCAGACCCTGTTTAGTGACCCCAGAGCCTCTTTAGGACCCCCGCCCCCATCCCGCCCCTCCCTCCCCCCCATTTTCCCGCGGCCCCTTTAAGAGCGCGTGGCCCCGCCCCCGGCGCGATGACGTCACGACGCTCGCTTCCCGTCCCGCTTCCTGCCCCGTCCCTCACCCTCCCCCACGGGCCGCCCCCGCCTCCTGCCGCTCCCGCTGCCGCCCCCGCCGTGACCGCGGGCGCCGCCGCCGCCATGAACGGCAAAGGCAAGGCCGGGGCGGGGCCGCGGGCCGGGACCGGAGCCCCGCCCCGCCGGCAGCGCCGCCCCGCCCGCGCGGCGCCTTTAAGGGCGCGGGGGGCGGGGCCCGGGCGGGGCGGGGCGGGCCCGGGGTTGCCATGGAGACGCGTGCTGAGCCTCGCTTTCACCCGGGAGGCGGGGCTGGGGCTGGGGGAGATACCAAGG